AGCAACAACAAGCAGTAGGACCACCCGGCTATACCAGAATAGACAATAGTGATAAGGAGATGCTGTCTGAAGCAGAACCCAACCAAGAGAAAACCATTGAGCGAGAATGGTTCACAGTAGACAAGAAAGACAAACAAACCAGGCCTTCAATCAAACCAAGACCCAGATCTCTATTTGACAGAGCTGCAAGATATGGGAGAAAGACATAAAGTAGGTATCACTGCCAAACTAGTCAAGGAAAAAACCATTAACCAAAAGATTGAACATATTATCCTTGTCCTGGACTTACCCAAAGGACTTCTTACAGTCCACAGTGAGGGAAAAAACGAAGAAATGAAAATTATTGCCATCTTTGAAGATCAACAGGCAGCTGAACATGCAACCACAATCCCATTCCTAGACATGAAAGATCACAAGTTAGCACATATGGAAATTAGATGTCAAGAAATCAACAAAGGAAATTCCATAGTTGTGTAGGACATCCCTTTGAACACAAAACTCATTGAAGTGAAACAGGTGTTTTCCAAATATGAAGAAATCCAAGGAATCACTATAAGTATCCAGAACCTATAGCAATGCACTACAATAACCTTTACAGACAAATCAGTCAAAGACAAACTAATTAACCAAAGGAGCATCCTAATTAGGGGAGACTCAGTCAGAATCAATAACACAGAATGGTTACTAGACCAAATGAGGGCAAGACATGAGATTGTAGCCAAACTAATCAACCTACCCCCAAACACATCAGCATGGAACCTCAAGAATATTCTCATACAATGCAAAGGGCAAACATGTTACATTCCCAGAGCAGCAACAATAACATACAAACCTAGAAGATTTACAGTCATAAGCTTTGTAACACAAGAAGACCTTTTGGAAGCAGTACAAGAAACATATACCCTTGGAGAAACAGAACTTATCTTCACATCAATTGTAATCAAGCTCTGTGCAATCTGTAACTTTGAGAACCACATTGCCAAAGATTGTCCAATCAAGCTACGCCGCCAACAATGGTAAGAATATCAACAAGAACAAGCATCCAAATTTGGAACACTATACAACAAATTCAAATCCACCAAAACAGGCACAATTCATAATGTCAACAGATCAAGATCAGATGGGCAAAGCAGAGCAGGATCCTATGCAACTGCAGTCAAAACCCAAATACAAAAAAGAGAAGAAACCCACAATCCCTAACAGAAATCGCAAATCTCCTAAGACAAATCCAAAGAGATCTATGAGAGGTAAAGGAAAAAATCACAGAACTGGATGAACGTATCACAAACCTTGAGTTCCATAATGAAGAATATTATGAATCCATGGAAAGCGAACAGATCAATGAAGAAAAGATTAAAATAACCAACCAACAGCAACCCCAAGAAACACAAGAAAACAACATGAACAACATCAGAAGTCACCAAACACAACTATTTGTCTCTCTGGATGGGATGCAAAACAGTATGAATCAAATTGTAGTAACAATGGACACCTTCACTAGAATCCCAACCCAATCACATAAATCAGATAGGGAATATAACCAGTAATATCTCTTTAGCCCCAAAAAACAGTTCAAGCAATGACACGAACACCACAATACTAAATTTAACCACAGATGAACAACTCAACAACACCTTTTCATGGTCAGACTTAGAAACATCACAAGAAGATACAACAATAATATAGAAAGAAAACCAACAAACATATACCAAACCATACAAAACACAAGAAACCAAATGACAGCACCAGCAATATTAGAGAACATCAGCAACAACACAACAGTTTCACTTGAACAACCACCAACCAGCACACAGTACAAATGGCATATAGTAACACACAATACAAGAGGATTCAACAACCCCCTCAAAAAAGCACTTTGGCAAAAATATCGTATAGACAACAAGGTGGATATAGCCGTGATTACAGAAACACAAATCACAAATGACTTCAGCAAGCATTGGAAGGTTCCAGGCTATCAAAGCTTTGCATCAGAAGATAACAAAAGGGCAGGAATCATTATTATACTCAAAACAGAAATCGCACAACACATAGGTGGTATAGACAAGTTTCCAGGAAAAGGTATTTGCATAGACTTATACTACAAAAACAACAACAAAGTCAGTATCATTGGAATATATTTTCCAGCATCTCTTAGCAGCAACCGCAAACAATTTTTAAGCTGGACAAACCAAAAAATTTGGGAAAAAAACAACAAAGACTTTCTTACCATTATACTGGGAGACTTTAATGGATTGGCAAACCCAAAACTTGACAAACTTCACCACTTAAAAGCCAATTGCAAAGCACGATCTATGAACTCAATCCTCCATACACTCACACAACTGGGCCACATAGACACATACAGATTTCATCATACATCCAAAAAAGAATACACATGGCAAAATTATAATGGAGTTACAACAAGAATTAACTATATCTGACTGTTACCAAATTCAAACTGGTTCACATTGGAGGCACATATTATACCATCAGAGTTCATTTTCAATAGCAACTATAACATCGCTACATGCACAATACACATACCCATAGGAGATCAAATAATATCATGTAACACATCTCTCAAAACAAATGCATTCAACACTAAAGTGACAAAGGCAAAGCAATGGAAGCTATTTCAAGAGAATCTGGACAAGAAAATAGAATTGCAAGAAGATTTATACAACATCACCCATATGTTAGTAGAAAGACTCTAGAATATCACCTGGAACAGTATCTGTACAACAGCAAAAAGGCACGTTAAGAAAGCCAATCCAAAAAAGATCCCCACACACAAGCAAACAAAAAATCAACCATAACCACACAACCCCAACCAAAACATTGGCTCAGTTTACAACCTTGGGAAACTTGTACATCTAGTCAATAGATATATCAAAAGAAAGAGAAAGTCAAACACAATGGTTAAAAAATCAATAAAATGACAAAATTCCTACAAAAACAAAACATACCCATAACAAACTTCCCCTTTCAAAAAAGCATTAACCAAAAAACAAGATGGCTGGAAGAAGTAAAAGACCTCTGGCAAGCAATGAAGAAGATAACCAATCAAGAACTACAAAGCAACATCAACACCCAAATCAAAGAAGCCACCCAAAAAAGAATGGATCAATATTCAAAATCCAAAAAGAAAATGATTAACAGCATACTATCGCGAGAATACAAAACAATCGAAATGAACACAATTGTCATCAAAAATCTAGAAACAACTATCATTACAGAATCAAAAGAAATCAAAGAACTGGCAAAAAAGCACTTCGGTCATCAACCAATACACCACAACATATCACAAATCTCCACAAAATGGCAAAAAGAATATAAGCCAAGGGACAACATACAAGAAGGCTGGTACACAGCAGTACTACAAAAAATACAACCATTAGAGATTAGAAAAACCATCACCAAAACAAGTAAAAACTCAGCTTCCAGCCCATCAGGAATAAACTATGATATACTCAAACATTTGGGAGACAAATTCATACAAAGAATAACATACTGTATGTCTTTAACAAAATTCTGGATACAACTATAATTCCAACACAGTGGCAATACAACTTGGTATACCCAATCCCCAAGAAAACAGATTGGCAATATAACCTCAACCACACCTGCCTGATTATCCTAATGGAAACAATCAAAAAGATCTTTACAAAAATAATAAATAACAGGCTTGCAAAGGTCCTAACTCAACACCCAATCCTTTCACTCCTTAACTGGGCAGGCCTGCCAGAAGATGGCATTAATAAACCCATCTCAATAATAAATTATATTCTGGAAGATACAAAACAAAATCAAAAGAAATACTGGCTAATTAACCAAGATATCAGCAAAGCATATGACTCAATTAAACAACATCTTGGAAAAAGCATTGCAGAGAATCAAAACTCCAGAAAAAGTGATCAAGATTATATTGAATCTCAACACAGATCGCAAAAACGGAGTAATTATATGTCATGGGTTAACAGATAAATACTCACCAACCAATGGCATAGACCAAAGTGACACAATCTCTCCATTGTTTTGGCACATATACTATGATCCCTTAATTACCAAAATAAGTGAACTCAAAATAGGATACAAGTTACACAATACAAGGTACAATCAATGGCTAGAAACAGTCAAAGACCCTCAAGTCCAAATACCCGTGGTGGCATACATGGATGACACAACATGGATCACAATGAACAAGAAAATGAACAAAAAATACAGAACATCACAGATATATTTGCTCAGTTCACAAATCTGAAACTCAACCCTAATAAGTCAACATTACTGACAGTTAACAACATAGAAAAAGTGACACTGGAATCCAACAATCACAAGATTACCAAAGCATAAAAAGATGAACCGATTTGAATTCTAGGAGTATATATCACATAATCAGGAAAAATGATTTACCAAAAACAGATCATTCAAGACAAAATCAATTATACCACCAAAACACTCAAAAGAAAGCATATTACAGACAAACAATGCAGATATATTCTCAATCAAGTCCTAATGCCTGTGATAGAATACTTGCTTCAAAATATCATACTGAGTAAAACAGAATGCCAACAAATAAACAGAAAAATTATAGCAGTAATCAAAAACAAAATCAACATAGCATGTATAAGTATCAGTGGAATTCATCTTCATATAGGATACAAAGTGTTTCACATTTATGATAGAATGCTTCAATTACATACACGAACTTGGATGAATCAAATTAACAGCAATAACATCATGGGACAAATAACAAGAGCAAGATTGCAAAGCCTGCAAGAGCAAGTATGGAGTACACAACCAGTCACAGTTAAGACAACAAATGATCTAAAAAATATCAACAACAATTTCATTAGCAAGATAATTAAACTATTCAAAGAAAATAATATACACATAATGCCTAGTAACACAGCCCTGGAAACACCTAGGAACCCCTGCTACATCCGATCAAAGAACATACACCACAATAATGGTACATCAAAAATAGAGCATCACTTAAAAAACACAAATTGATGTTTATTGAACAAGTGATAAACACAACACAAACATATATGATTACATGAATACAATTCAAAGCACAAGAAAAAGTTATGTACATTGGTAGATATCCAAAATGGTTTAACCAATTGACAAACTTTCTTGCACAAGAAAACATAATCACAAACGACAAGAGAATTACCATTCCAAATCTGTCAACAAATTTGCAAACACAACACAGAACATCTATCAACACAACAATAAATAGAAGAGAATACCTGGCCACAAGTATAGATGGGCAGATATACATAGACAAAAGAACAACAACCACATCACAGTAACACATTTTATCCAAATAGCAGGAGATTCATTCATTGAAAAATACACAGGATGTATAAAAGTCTTGAATAAATTATTAGTGATTTAAAAAGACAGTGAACTTGAGCGATTGTAATTTTAATGCCAACAGAGTTGGGACTTTATTAAGGTCAAAAGGGTATTCTTTTATACATGTCAGCTTCATACAACATAAAAATACATAAATAAATAAAAAAATATAAAAATACATATATCTATATTGGGCTTAACCTCTGGAGACATATGTACTTAATTAACATAATGAAATGAAAAGGTAAATAGAAAGAAATAAAAGAAAAAAGATATGTATACTCTATGGCCTTATGCTTCTAATTTGGTTATATTAACTCATAGTAATTAATTAGTGGCACTTGGCAGTGTGTCACATCGTTAGGGGTCAGAATCTCACCATACATGTGTCTGACAGTCGTCTGGAAACATGTCTCAGACTTGCAGATTGTCAGGGGCAGATCAGATACCTTCCGGGGCATCCAGTTCACAGGGCACAGTATGGGTCCTGTGGTGCAGTCTCCATCAGTATTGTTACATTCTCCCCTCCTTAGAATTCGACATCCTTGTTGACTCAAATTCTTGAAGTTTTTCTTGGATGTTGGTTGGGATTCCCAGGTGGCATCATACAATGGGTATCCAGTCCATTTGACAAGATATTGAGATTTGTTTCAGACAACTTGCTTGTCCAGGATGGCTTCTACTTCATATTCTTCTGTTCCAGTTGCAGGGATATGGGTGGCTGGTGGTGGCATTGGTCTTTCAAATTCCTCTGGTGATGACTTATATGGCTTGAGTAGAGAGACATGGAACACAGGGTGAATCTTCAAAGTGGTAGGCAGCTCCAACTTGTAGGCAGTTTCTGAGATAACCTTGGTGATAGTATATGGTCTGGCAAATCTTGATGTCAGCTTCTTGATAGAATGGTTTCGATCCACAGGATTGTTAAAGTTCTGCAGAGATAGTAATACTTGATCTCCTTTTTAAAACGTCAGATTGTGTCGATATTGATTGGCGTATTTTGTTTGGCGGTCTTGTGCTTCCATCAGGGTATCTTTGGTGATCTTTATTATAATATTCCAGTGATACATAAAGTTATTGGCGGTCGGCACGGATATTGATGTCGCAAGTGTCAGGGTGTCTTGGGGTGTTGTCCACAGTCTAACTCGAAAGATATAAAACCTGTTGATGCTTGCTTGGCATTGTTGTACGTGAACTCAGCAGCAGGCAAGTACTTATCCCATTGATCTTGCTTGTAGGTGGTGTATATGTGTAGCATTTCTTCCAGGATCCTGTTGAGGCATTCTGTTTGTCTATCTGTTTGAGGGTGAAATGCTATTGAC